CAGGAATGCCGTATAGAAACCTATGCCCTCAGGGAGCGGACGTGGGGCGCCCTGGTGCTAGGCAGGTCTCAGGACATCCAAACGTCAATGATGAGCGAGGACAGAGTGCAAGACCCGGAAATATATAGCCCAAGGGAAAGAGAGGGACAGGAAGGACAGCAGACTGGAAACTAGGGACAGGACAGAGAAGGAGCGCCCTCTGGCTGCAGAGGGCGTGACACATGACTTCTGTCTTGTCACAGTTTAAATGAAGGAAATTTTGAGTCTCACAGGTTTTTATGTTTGAAACAAAAGATCACAACACTACAATTTTACAGTATTTGAACAACTGAATATTAGATCAAATCTAGATACAAATAAAGACTAAGAAGCTATAATATCTATTTTAACATAAATAATATACAGTATACAGCTGTCCAATGATGTCCCTTTTTGTTAAATGTTCACAATGAATACAATGAAGAAGTTAAATATCAGAAAAAACCTGCAAAGAAAAAATGTACTCTTCTTAAAATTAAAACTCAACTTCCATCCGTTCATTTTCTAACCACTTCATCCAATTCAGAAACATGGGGGAACCACATCCTTCCCTAGCAAGCAATGAACACATCACAGGAAAACATAGCTTAGCTTAGCTTCCAAGTTTTAAAGCATCACCTCACCAATTGACTTTTAGCAACTGTTCAAGTGCCTGAGGTTGGCTAGCCACAGCTTTCTGGAGATTGCAGTTCAGGTCAGAACTGTCATCATGTCTGCCCCTGCCATCTTCATTCTCAGAAGACTACATGGACATAAGACATTTACAAAGGACTGACAATACACTGACAAGGTCCACAATACACTAGAAACAATTAGCATAATGTCACAGTACAACACAAAAGAAAACACACAAGGGAGGACCGAGAATCATTAGCAGCTATTGAGGTAGCATTGGTACTTGTATATGAGTAAAAATAAAACAATGTAAAGAGTAAATAAATAAATGGGTATTTACAGTAGTGTAACAAGTAATGTGCAAATTAACATTCTGGAATACAGGGGTGGTGGGGGAGCGGGAGACAAGTGCAGGTCATAGTCATAACATGACACGACAGTGAGATGGT